TTTAATATTTAATATTTAATATTTAATGTTTAATATTTATATATATATAATATAATATATATATATTTATATATTATTTAATGCATGCAACTGTAATGAATTAATTTTTAATTTATTTGTTTAAATTAAAAATTAATCATGTGTTGGTATTATTCATTTCCAGTATTGCATTTATTATTCAGTACAACTGTTTCATTTTGTAAAATCACTAACACGCAGTTTCCATCACGCATGCTCCTCTTCATCCCTTGGCCTCTCCTACTAAAGCGCTGCTGCACTCACCGAGCGGAGGCCTTTGACTCATCAGCATGCTGAAAAAAAAGTGAATTCACTCAAGAGTCACATAACCCTTCCCTTCACCTCTTCCTCCTACCTCTTCCTCCTTCCTCCCTTCTTATCACCATTTCTTATTTTCCCCACCCCTCTCTGCCTCTCTTCACCCAGCTCGCTTTGAAGGGAGGAAATCTGCACTTTTGCACATGCAGCAGTGGCAGGCCGGGGATGAAGTGATTCACTGTATGGAGAGAGATAGCGAGAGAGAGAGAGAGAGAGAGAGAGAGAGGTTGAGGAGTTTACACCTCTGCACCATTTCCTTTTTCATCAGTTTTTCTGTTGTTGGGCGTCTTGATCTGATTTGTAGTCTGCTGTTTGTCTGTCTGTCTCCTTTCTCCACCTGTTGTTCACTGACACTGTGATGGATCTCAGGACTGTTCTCACCATCTCAACTCTTTTACTTATGACTGCTGGTAAGTGCACTTTATCTTTTGGGACAGGTAGAACATTAAACAATAGACTCACACACAAACACAGACATCAACTTTAACACACACACAACTTCAACACACACTTCCACAGTCTCCATCAAACACACACATAGGGGGAAGTTTTGGTTTTCTTACATTTTCTTGATTTTATGAATTCTTTCTTTTGGCTCTATAATTGAATTTGTCCACTAGTTAGTCGGTTGAAATGTGAGTGAGAGATGCTTTGCTGAAGCAACGGTGCAAAACAGAGTTTTAGAGAGTGGAAAAATATTTACGGGAAGTTAGACTATGGCGGCCATAATTAATAGGAAACACTGATAGAAGAACCAGGCAAATACAGTACACTGGTTTGGTTGTGATGGTAGTCCTAGCCCACTGGCTGGGTGTAAACCTGGAAGCAGTAAGCTACCACTGAGACACCTGAGCATGATTTGTACAAAAATACAGAAAATAGCTTTGGTGCATCCAATACACAACAAATGAGACTAATATGAGGAAAAACAATACTGAATGTGAAAGACGTAACATGACAAACTCTCCATTCTGGACCCAGATCTTACCCAGATAGTCCAAATGTGTTTCCTGTGTCGATACCAAAGTCTTGAATATCGTCCACTCCTGGGTTCAGACACTAGCCTGAAGTCAGGCCATGTTGATTATGTAACATGTTTTCTCGTGTGGCCTCCAGTTCTACCTACCGATGTCCTGCCTGTAAAATCACCCCAAAAGTTGGGCTGCATCTAAATATACCATGGGCTCCATTCACGCTCAGTTCCAGGAATATAGCAGATTTAGCAACAATTGTGTTCACTATATAAACTATTTACCAAAAAACAAAGCTGTTTATAAATCTCCACTACATTTGATCATAAGTCCAGATGAATATTATGCTTTTTGCTTTAATGTTAGCGAACGTTGCTATATGCTAACAATAGCACTGTAGCATCCTCTGAAACCGTCACTTCCAGTCCTTATCCTCTTAAACGGACATTCCGGTGATGAAGTCTCATCTTGTGTGTATGATGTGCACATGTTGTTAGCACTTTTCACTTTGTCCCAACCTCTCGTCTCTTTGGAGCTGAATGTTGTCCGCCTCAGACTGTCGGAGGCCTCTTGGCCTGCTGCTTCGACAGTGAACGCCTCAACATTCTACCAAAGCGAGGAGACCTTTCTCACAGCAGACATTTGGACTCATTAATTAGCAGACTGATAAAAATGTATTATGATGGCTGCATTTAATGGCCTTGCACCTCTACGTTGGTACTGTGTGTTGTGGAACAGTGTCACAGTTTATGTTAATGACACCAGGTCAAATCGCCTGCTGTGAAACTCAGTAAAACATTGAGGGCGTGAATTATTTGTGTGCCTGCATAATAAAATGAATGAACAAAAACAAGCATCTATCAGTCCCTAGATTCAACATGCATGTATTTACATATTTTTTAACAGAAGAATGGTGATTACACATTTCTGTTGGGCGGAAACCTTGTATTTCCATATTTTGTCATGTTTATTTTATTTTTCCTAAAAATCAGTGCTATAGGTCACCCTTTACTGTGGGTTTTTACAAATATTCAACCAATGAAAAGTATTAAAACCAGCTGACGACACTGTCAATTGTTGTAGAAATACAGGGTTTTTCTTTACTTCCTGAATAGTTTTGGACGTACGCCTGACAACGTCTATGTGTAAAATGCCTGCTCAGAGGTAAAACCGTGTTAAGACCATCAGCTCAAACGCAGGTCCCTCGTTCATGTTGATGAGAAGCATTGTTGGCACAGTGGGGGTCAGAATGCAGAGGGATCAGGCAAAAAAACGTATAGTTGTTCCTAACTTTCTGCACAACAATATGTCCTTCAAGGTGCTGCATTGATGCACTGCAGCAAATATTTGGAACATAAACTCAGTAAATATTGATGAATCAGTACCATGGAGAAAGTGTGTGTCACCATGATAACTTTCCATGTATATAAATCCTGTCTGCAGTATTGTGAACCTCTGGGCAGTGTTGTCTGATACTTCACTAAAACTACTGATCCTGGGTCATATTACCTTATCTTCCCTAGAAACAACACCTTCCCATCGATACAGTTGTAATACAGAGCAGTTCTCTGTCTGAACAGAGTGCAAGGGCTTTGCGGTAGTTTTAGAACCTTAACAGCTGCTATAAGTGGGGCCCTGAAGGCATCACTGAGTCACTGTGACAGCATTACAACAGGCATAACAAACAAAAAATGATACTGTATTACACTAAGTTGACAAGCAGATAATTATTTGCAGGTAAATATATTCAAATATTAAATGAGAAATGATTTTGTTTCTTTGATGATTCCATTTTGTAAATCCGCTTGAAACACACCAAAACTGACTTCCTATAAAGTCTTGATTTCTGACCGTAAATTGAAACCAAGTGTTGGCTCATCATACAATAAGAGATATCCGGATTAGTGTGTGACAAATCCAGAGCCTTCTCTAACTTTGTCACAACTGTGTGTATTGGACTGATTTGACTGACTGGAATCAAACTAATCTCCGGACTTTACCCATCACTCCCAAACAGTCAAATAGAGAAAGAAAACCACCTCCGCACACACACGTATTTTGTTGATTCAATTCTCATCATCAGTTTAAGATCCTTCAAGGCACAAACGTGGCTGGAAAAATGAATATGGAGAAAACTTTTGGAAAACATTTTTTTAAGCTTACGCTTTCCGACCTGATTGTTTTGGGCATGTGATGGATGAGAGATACTGCATGAAACAGAACGCACACCTAAACTGCAAAAACAATGTAACAAACGAAGTAAGATGAGTTTATATTAGGATTTTAAATCTAGTTGGACTCGTTTTAAGAATGAAAAGAACATCTAAGGCTAACTCATTCTCGTGATAACATTCGATCGGGGACCTCGGCGCCTACCCTTAAGAGACTGCTTTGTGACTCCGACTGAGCTTGCCTTTTCTAAACAGGCATTTTTCACTGCACACATTTTGCCATGTGACAGCATGAAGAGCAGAGGTGTTAATAATTAAGTAATGAATAAAGGCTTAATTCCATTTAGCTGCATCTGTTTTAGGGTGCTGCTATTGTTCGTGCAAAGTTTTATCTTTGTGTAATTTATCATTATTCAGATACACCTCAAGGAAAAAATAAATCACAAATCACACATTTTATCAGATGTGTCAGCAGTCACATTATTTGCACCTATTCCCAGTATAAACGGAGAGAATAAGGTAGATTGATACTACAGGTTAATTGTGTCTCATTAAGGAGGCCGCTTTGATAATGGTGCAGAGAGCACGCCTACAGCTGGGTCGCCCACTCCAAAAAACTGTATTAAAAAAAAAAAAAAAAATCTATGGTTTGACCCTTTCTAGGTAAAAAAAAGAGTAAAAAAAAAATAAAAAATAAAAAATAAAATAAAAATATATAAAAATATATAAAACATATAAGTACTTAAAACACATATGCAGAATACACATTTAAACATAACCCTCAGGAGCAAAAAGTATGTAACAAATAAGTTACGATAATATAATTACCCACAATGTATAAATAACAATAATTATTTTTCTTTAACTTATTAACCTTGCAGACATTCACGCATCAATATCTGTGAAGTGCACTCATATACCTGCACACTATATATCTGTATGTACATATAAGGACATGAAAGCAACAAGGCCATCTCTTTGAAATCAGTTTTCAACCTGACTCAGCAAATATGTGAAGAAAAAAACTAATAAACCAATAAATCATCCTGGTCTGTCGGGGTGGGATCTGAAAGGAAGCAGCATTAGTGGGTGGGAGGTAACAGTAACAGGAGTATATTGAAGTAATTCTTCAGGTATTTTTGTTGTATATAAGTACTTTATACCTGTACTCCATTAAATAGGTAAATACTATTTATTTATTTATTTATTAGTAAAATCTTATTGTATACGCACAAAACATGAGCGGTTTATGACCTACTTTTACAATTCACAATTTCAAGTTAAGATTTCGAAAGCATTTTTTTTGCTTTCAAATTTTTACTTGTGCTTTATCATTTCTACAATGGTAAAATGTGAAATTGTCTTGAAGAAAAGTGTCAAAGTACTTCTGCCACCACTGGTTACACCCTTCCTGTTATTTAAAAGTTTTATATTAATTCTTTTGTGTTGGAAGATATGAACTTTGGCACTGAACTATATTCTTTTCACAGATATTGCAATTGCAATCACGTTTATTGTGGTAATTATCATTCTTCTATCACAAATGTAATTTTCACACAAATTGTCGAAAATAATTTTTGTGGGGTGTGTACCAAACAAACATGTTTTCTTAAATCTGCAGAACGAGATGTTCTCTAGCAATTTGCATATTGCTATTGGCCATATTGCGAAAATGTTTTAATTAATCGTGCAGCCCTATTTAAAACATTTACAGTTTAAGCATCTGAATTGGTTATATTAAGATAATGATAATCAGGCTTTAAATTCAGTCATGTATTGAGAGAGGCTCAATTTATTAAAAGCTTGTTTTGCTTACCGCAGTGTTTTCCAGAATCATAAACCGATTGATTGCCAATAGGTTTTCACATACAAGGAATTTGCCTTGTATAATGATAAACTCGGTGCGAGAAAATATAAACAAAGATGAAAGCAACAACTGCAAGTCAAAAAGCATACATAGAAAATTAAAATGAGAATAACATGAAAAATGATTATAATAACAACACGCACAATATGACGGTGGTAAAGTCCAAAATTCCACTGACAAACAAGAGAAAAGCGGGAAATAAGTTGGTTGCTGTTGTTAACCTGATGCTCCGGGTTCTGCAGCAAAAAATTAATTTCCAAACAAAAAAAGCAAAGTCCACCAACACACTGAGACAGCCACCAGCGGCACCTACTTAATGTCACTTTGGCTTGATACTAGCAAATGTTACTGCTTTACAGAAAGCATTTCTGTGTTTATAGATTAAAAATTCTCAGAATGTAATTGCAGAAGTACATTCCGTGCACTGAATTACAGTGTGAGTACAGTAATATAATTTATGGGCTAAACACATCAAACCAATTGAGCTGAGCTTGTTGAAAAGTGCAACCTCAACTAGTGCTGAATAAGTTAGAGACGATAGCATTGATCAATTCTGAACTGATTAATGACCACACATATATAATATACATATAAAGTGATGGGCTAGGAACAGAACAGAGGCACGGAGAAACAAGACAGCTTGCTGACTCCATCAATCGCACTCTCTAAACTCCAAACAAAAAAACAATCCTTTAGTGGTCTCTAGAACCTTTTATAGAACTTTCAAACGTTGGTCCACCCAAATAAAAATAAAAAAACAGCATATTTTCAGATTTGCCCATAGTAACTAGCGTGCAGACGGTTTCAGTTCTGTCTGCAGAGGCTTTGAAATCCATGCCGCTGAAACCTGTGCGCCACCCCAACACAGCGGAGCTGAATCGAAACGGGTTTGTGGTGTTTAGAGCATCAAAAAGTGACATTTAAAAAAAACTGACAGAGCTGTGACTGTTTCTACTGAGAAAACAGTTTAAAAAGTTCCCGGAGAAAACTGCATTTCTAGTGTGTGAATGAGAAAATATGTTTGAATGGCACTGGCGTTGTCATCTGACAAGTTAAATAATTATTTTTTAGTTTCTAGCTAACCACTGTATACTGTATGGTGGAAGATGTCAGTTACAGCTGGCCACAGCAGAGCTGCTTAGCCATGTGGTAGACTGGATGTCAGATTGTTTGCAGCTGAACTCAAGCACCTGGACTACCGTAACGCCTTGTTAATCTGCTTTAACACATGAGCTGTAGCTCTGCTTCAAAATGTGCAAATTCTGACTACTGCACCATCACCCAATTTTAGCCTCCTTGCGCCGACTGCCAGTTTGGTCCGTTTTAAAATCATTAAGGTGATGAGATGAGATGGCTTTAAAGTCTTCACTGTCCAGAGAGGCTTCTTAGATCTGTTAGGTCTTAAGTGTTCCAGAGTTCAGGTTCAAGTTGAAGAGGCGATCAAGATTTTGTACTGACACCTCAGAGTTCTTATTCATTGTGAGAGGCCTTACCAAATGCTGTTTTGTTGCTCGCATAGCACAGTTCTCAGTGCCAGCTGTGCTCCAAATGCACACAAACACACACACA